AAAAAAAAAAAAAAAAAAGGCATCTGGACCAGTGAGATGGCCCAGCAGGTAAAGGTGCTTGCCCCCAAGCCTCTTGACAGAGTTCAACCCTCAGGGTCCACAGGATAGAAGGAGAGAGTCTATCTGTAATCTGTCCTATGACTTCCATACTCCATTCACACCATGGCATTTCCCCTCAGATAGATAGATAGATAGATAGATAGATAGATAGATAGATAGATAGATAGATAGATAGATAGAATAAAAGTTGTATCCAAAAAAGAAAAGAATGATAAAGTAAAATTAAAAATTGGATCTGAGAGTTGGGAGTAAAGGCACACCATTCTTCTCAGCACTTGGGAGGCAGAGGCAGGTGGATCTCTGTGAGTTCAAGACCAGCCTGGTCTATATAGAGAGCTCCAGGAGAGCATATACAAGCAATGTACAACATCCACACTGTATTATGTAATTTGGAGATGACTTTTTTTTGTTATGGTTTTTCCAGACAGGGTTTTTCTGTGTAGTTTTGGTGCCTGTCCTGGATCTCACTCTGTAGACCAGGCTGTCCTCGAACTCACAGAGATCCACCTGCCTCTGCCTCCCCAGTGCTGGGATTAAGGGCCTGCACTATCACTGACCATCTTGGAAATGACTTACATAAGGAGACTGTACATTGTTTATATGCAAGTAACCATGTCCCGCCCATACCCACACCCCTGGCTCTTTGATAGGATCTCACTATGTAGCCATGGCTGGCTTGGAACTGTCTATATAGACCAGGCTGGCCTAACTCACAGAGATCTGCCTGCCTCTGTATCCGAAGTGCTTAGGATTAAAGGCTTGTGCCATTACACCTGAGAAGCCATTAGTGGTTTTTGCAGTCCAAGACTGCTCAGGGGGTTAATCATTAGCCTCCTCGTTCACCAGTAAGGCATCCAGGAAATGAAAGTCCATCAGCCATAGCCTGATTGTGCAGTGGAGAAGCCTATAGCTTCCGATCCACCGAGGGCTGAGTGCCATTCATCCAGAGTGGGACAGTCTGTAATTTTCCCGGAGGGGTCTCCAGGGCACTTTTCCCTGTTAAGGCCGGAAATTCCCAGGTTCCTAACTCCTGGATTTTAATTTTTTTTTCTCCTCCCAAGTTGAGAAGCATTGGGTGCAACCACAGACCCTCTTCCCAGCACATCCAACACATCAGGTTAAGTCCCCTGCACTAGCTCTGAGGATTTCATTCCTTTGTCAGCAGCAAATTCAGCCCCCAGCACCTTCTTTAAAATGCAAATGACCCTGAGAAGTTCTAAATGATTAGCTGGATTGTGTGAAAGTTTTTCCCAGGCCACAGATAGCCTAAGAGGCTTTTCTGGTGGGTGTGGGGGAAAAGAGAGCCTGGAGCTGGGGAGGTTCCCAGGGTACTCATGTTTTTTTTGTTTTTCCCCACAGACTGTTTCTCTAGAGAGCTGCTGAACAGTGTTGCATGGCCAGCCAGGCCTGTAACTCTCAGTTGATGCCGAAGCAGGATGGTCACAAGTTCAAAGCCTGTCTGGGCTACAGAGTGAGTTTAAGGCTAGCCTGGGCAACTAGTTGAGACCTTCTCTCAAAATAAGAAAGTACAAAAAGGGATAGGGATATAGCTACACACAGCCTGTGTCCTGGGTTCAGTTTCTACTAACAATAACGAAAGTGCTATAGAGTATGTAGGGGAGTCTTCTAAGGGCTGGGGATATACAGTTCAATTTGTAGAATGCTAGCCTAGCATTTACCGGGCCCTGGGTTGGATTCCCACACACTCCCGCCAACCTGGGAAGTCTGGTATGGAGGCACACACTTGAAATCTCAGCACTCCGGAGATGAAGGCAGGAAGATCAGAAATGTATGCTTATCTTTTTACCTACATCATATGAGGCCAGCCTGGGCTAGAGACCCTATGGCAAGACAACCACCACCCAAGACTAGGGGTGAGTGGTATATAACTCAGCTCCCACAGTGCAGTCTCTACATGCCGGCTCAGTGGATCTTCACACTCAAGGTTTATGCCTGTTTGACAGAGGAGTAAACTGAGGAAGTTCACTGCCTCACAAGGCCCCAACCGTATAGGGAGTCCCTTTGTGTTCTCTCCTCAGCCTGGACAGCCAGGGTGTGTGTGGGCGCCCCCCCCCCCCCGGGGTGAGTGGCCCTTTCTGACCCTCTCTGAAGCCCGGAGGAGAAGGTCTTGATAAGAAATCTGAAGAGATGCATCAGGCCTCAAAAGTGCTTCAGACCTGACCTGTCCTTGCTGCCCTTAATTGTTGTTGAAAATCCTTTTTATTGAATTGTCCGAGTGTAATGGAGGAGTCAATGAGCGCCATCACAGAGTTCCACGGCCAGCGCTTGCTGGGCAGAAGAAATCAAAGCCCCAAAGACTCCCTACACCCAGCCAGCAATGATATAAAATATGTATTTTTACATAACTGGGAGGAAAAAAAATAAACGCCAAGGCTGCCCCATGGGGGGAAACGCCTCTTTATTTCCATTATCTTGTTCAGTGCCAGATCTGGGCAGGAGCATCAGTGGGAAAGGAAATACCAGAGCCCTCTCCCTCCGTGCCTCCTGGTGGGCTAAGAGGCAGGAGGAGCCAAGAAGCAGAAATCCAAAAGGCTGCTGGGTATGTGCTTGGAAAGCCATTAAACTGGAGGGGTCAGCCTCGGAGAGGGCTGGCAGAGACGGTGTGGGTGATGTGGATTAGAGGCAGTACCTCTACAGATGAAGCTGTGCTCTTTGTGGCTCAGGTTCCCCATTAGCTTCATGGGAAATGCTGTCATTCTGACTATCCCCAGGGATGGGGAGATAGGGCTGGGCCTTTCAAAGGCCCAACCCTCGCACCTCAGTGGTTGCTTTGGCATTGGGCTCAGGTACAGAAGGGGACACTAACTTGCCTAAGGTCACACAGCCAGTGACTGCAAGAACATTTTGTAGTTTTGGGGTGCTTGTTTGAGACTCTCAGGGCTCAAAGTCAGGATGGCCTTGAAGTTATCATTCTCCTGCCTCCACTCCCCAGGTGCTGGGATTATAGTAGGCACCCCCCCCCCCCCCCCCCCGGTGTCTATGCAGAGGAGGGTGGAATCCAGGGCCTTATTCATGTTTGGCGTGTACTCCCCAAACCCTGTTTTGTAGTTTTGTCAAAGCCTGGATCGATAGCATGTAGCCCAGGCACCCAGACATGGCAGGCCACAGGCAGACATGGAAACTGGTCTTATGTTTATCTATCTTATTTTTGATCCTAAAATTATGTACCAGGGACAGAATTCGTTGAAGAAGGTGTTGGTGACTGTGGTATGGTTATGGCGTTAAAGGCCTTGATCTAGCTGGGCACACACCTTTAATCCCAGCACTAGGGAGGCAGAGGCAGAGGCAGGCGGATCTGTGAGTTTGAGGCCAGCCTGGTCTACAGAGCGAGTTCCAGGACAGCCAGAGCTATACAGAGAAACCCTGTCTTGAAAAACAAACACACAAACAAACAGCCTCAATCTATGGAGCAGGAAAGCTTGAGTTCTCGTCTTTTTTTAAATTTTATTTATATTGGTGTTTTGCCTGTGTGTATGTCTATATGAGGGTGTCAGATCCTCTGGAACGGGAGTCACAGTTGTGAGCTGCCATGTGGGTGCTGGGAATTGAACCCGGGTCCTCTAAGAGAGTAGTCAGTTGCCCTTAACCACTGAGCCATCTCCAGCCTCTGAGTTCTAGGTTTTTACTAGAACTGATGGATGTGGTGGTGCATGCTTGTAATCCCTGCATTTAGGATGCTGATGCAAGAGGATCCTAAGTTCAAAGCCAGTCTGGGTTACTTAGGAAGAATTTGTCTAAACAAACAAATGAAAACAAACAAACAAACAAACAATACAGACAAATGTGAGCTAGTCATAGGGGAACATGCCTTTAATCCCAGCACTTGGGAAGTCGAGGCAGGCGGATCTCTGTGAGTTCCAGAACATCCAGAGAGACCCTGTCTCAAACAATAAGCAGACAAACACGGGCCTGGAGAGATGGCATTGGACCTAAGAGAGCTTGCTTTTCCTCCAGGAGACCAGGGTTCCCTTTCCAGCTCCCACATGGAGCAGCTGAAAAAGTCCCTGTAATTCCTGCACAGGGGATCCTAATCCATCGGGTCTACTCCGTGACTCACTAACCTGCTGAGAGCTGAAGTGAAAAGAACAGATCTTAGTGGGGCATGGTAGTGGGTATCTGTAGTTCCATCCCCAAAGTGGGGAAGCTGAGAATGGACAATAGTGAGTTCAAGACCATACTGGGCTGCATAGCAAAACCATGTCTCGAAAGGGAGGGGGACCGAAGTTAGAAAATTAGATGATCAGATGAGCCTGGTCTGGCGGCTCACTTATGCAATCCCTGCGATGGGGGGGGGGGGCGGAAGCAGGAGGATTGCTTAGGCTGCTAAAACAGTTCCAGGCCGGCTTGGGCTGAGCAACAAAAAACAAACAAACAAACAAAACCCAACTCAGGCTATAAAACAAAATAAAACAGCAGAGATGGTTCAGTCAGTAATGGCTGATGATGGGCATTCAATCCCGGGACCCTCTTGGTGGAAGGAGAAAACTGACTCCTGCAGGCTGTCAACTCCACACGGGCTGTGGCACCTGCGTTTGAAAGCACACACACACACACACACACACACACACACACGCTAAAATGTTTTCTAAAAATCCTTAAGACAAAGTAAACCAAAGCAAACAAACTCCTCCAACCAAACACAATAAAGAAAAACGAAATAAAAACCTAGATGAAGAGTAAAGTCCTTTGTAATCCAAGTCTCAGTGGGCCACAGCAAGGTTGGACTGGGATTCGAACGAACGTGGACTAGGAAATGAGGAAGTCTCCTAAGCCCGGCCCCATGCCACCAACTACAGTTGAGGGTGGAGGAAGTCGAGGGCCGTGCGGCTCCTTGGCTGCCACCTGCAGGTGCGGCCTCAGCCAATCAGTGGCGCCGGGGGCGGTGCCTTCGGGCTCACCTGGCTGGGGCAGCCTCTGCCTGGCTCAGTGGAGTGGCGAGGCGCGGCGCATCAGTGACTTCTCGGGAAGTTCTGCTAGACGCCAGCCCGGCCTAACCCGGCCCTGCCCGACCGCACCCGAGCTCCGTGTTTGCTCAGCGCCCGCTCGGCCAGCCATGGGAGCCCCGTGCCGCAGCCTTTCCGCGATCCTGCTCCTGCTGCAGGTACTTGGAATGTCCCGACTCCCGGCAGGACGCCTTCCGGCCCCACCACCCGCTTCGCTCTGCCTTTCTGCCTGCTGCCCTCCCGCTTTCCTTCTCCCAAGAAAGTTGGGGTCCAGAGGGTCAGATCTCCCTGGAGGCTGCGCGGCGCGGAGCTGAGTGCTGTGGAGTGGGAGGGGGGGTCCAGGCGAGCGCGGAGTGGCAGCCTCTCCCGCAGGTTCCCAGGTGGGGGCGCGCCACGCTGCGGGCTCCCGGGACCCCGAGTTGAACAGGGTCCCGGTTTGAGGCGGCCAGAGGGGGTGTGGAGCAAGATGGGGGCCCGCATGAAAAAGGGGTTTGGGGGGGGCAGAAGCAGAGCGGACGATCCGAGATAAGGAAAGGGACTTTAGCAGCATAGAAACACCTGCCGTGTACAGAAGGGACGGTAGGCTGGGGATGGCGGCTCTCTGGAGTAAGAAAGAGGAGTCTGAGCGTGTTCGTTGAGACCATTTGCGGTCTAAGGAAAGTGGCCGCCAGAAGAGTAAAGGCGTCTCCAGTGAGATGCAAATGGAGCCAGGCAGGAAAGGTAGTCTAGGCTGCGAGGTGGCGACCCTAGAAGTCCCCTCCCCCAAGAGTTCTTGGAGTTTGGCGGCTGGTTTCGGGTTGGGAGGGTGGCGTCCCTATCTGCCCCAAGGCGGGGGGCGGGGGGTCCTCCCACAATCCCGACGCCCCAGGCGAGGGAAGGGTTACGTCGTTGGTTTCGGTGTGAGCTCCCCCAAGTCACCAGGTTGCCTACCTTTTCTCCACCCCAGGTCTCCTCGTGGCTCTGCCAGGAGCCGGAGCCTGAGCCCTGCAGTCCCGGCTTCAGTGCTGAGGTCTACACGTTCCTGGTGCCGGGGAGGCACCTGGAGAGAGGCCACCTCCTAGGCAGAGGTAAGGGCGCTCTGCTGGTGTAACTGGGCAGAGTTAGGTCGGGTGGGGTCGGGTGGGGAAGGTGCCAAGAAATCGTGCTCCCATGCGGTGGGATGGAATGGACAAAACTCTGCTTCGGGATTTAGGCTGATTTGGGAGTCTAAATTTATCGATTGTGGTTGATCAAGGTAGATATGTCTGGCTGTGCTATTTATACAGGGGCAGGGATGGGCCAAGGGTATTTAGAGGTTATCGGTATTTCTCCGACTTATTAGTGGAGCCGGCTCATAATTTCAGACCGCCAAAACCTGCTGGGTAGGGCCAGTTGGTCAGTATTCCCATTTAATGAGCAATCGGAGGCCCAAAGGTGACTTCACGGGTCAGCAGGACAGGCTTCTGAACCGGAATTTGACTCCCACTATTTAGATAGTCACTGAGGAACAGGCTCTTGGTGACTTGTGGCTTTTGTTCATAGAGATGAAAATATTTGCTACAGGTATTGGTTTGTTTGGCGTGGGGGGGGGGGGCGTATTTCCAGACAGGGTTTCTCTGTGTAGCTCTGGCTGTCCTGGAACTTGCTCTGTAGACCAGGCTAAGCTCGTTTTTTACTTTAAGAAAAAGATGGTAGCTCTGACTCATACATGCAAGTACTCAATATATTTCAGGTCTTATCTCAATGTGATAATCTAGAATTTTCTTTGTTTCCCTGTTGGACATGGCTGGGAGCAAGGCAAGAGGACCAGTTTTTTGTTTTTTGTTATTTTGTTTTGTTTTTACTGGCTTCCCTAGTTTCCAGGTGCGTCTTATGTATCAAAACCACCTCCTCCTCTCTCATGATAAACAAAAAAGAAATAATACAAAAAGAAGTCACTCAGAATCCCCTTTTGGGGATCCCCTGACCAAGTGTGTTCTTCCAGCCATACCTGAAAAATCTGCAGCAATCGTGGTGGTGTCTAAAGTTCTGTTGTGAACTTTGGAACTTGTGCCCAGGTTTGATGATGTGTTTTACAGAGAAACAGCAGCTCGGTTGATTAGTTGTATTCTCTTTTCTGAGACCTGGCTGGTTCTGTGGCGGTTTCTAGGGGCTGAGGAAGGCAGTGCTGTCCTGTGGCCCTGAGGTTGAAGTGGTCAATGATGGCCCAGCCTGTCTACTTGCTGACCGCCCAAGGAATAATCTGGGCCTCTGGTGGGTTGCTGAGAGTATTTCAGGAGGTCCTTCGGTGGCACTTTGGGACAGGTTAGTGAGGTGTGGGTGGCCTAGGATGTTTCCAAGGGTGCCAGTGGGTTTCTGGAAAGAGGTGGACACCACTCAGTCTTGAGCTGTGCAGGGTTAGACATGGGAATTTGTAAGTATATATCAGGTATCCCATCCCAAGGGCTGGTGGCTTTGTTTTCCTATGGCGGGATGACACATAGTTGCACCTTAGTTAGGATGGTCTTTGTGTGCATTAGCAGAGCTGGGGATCAAACCCAAGGCCTGCTACAAGCTAGCCAGGCACTGTCCACTAGTCTGTTGTTTTTTTGAGACAGGACCTCCCTGTGTGGAGTGGGCTGGTTTGAAATTCACAATTTGATCCTCCTGCCTCAGACTCTGTGAGTGCTAGGAGTATAGGCTCACTTTGGCACTGGTCTGCTTTCACTGTGCACGTCTAAGCTCTGGTGTCCAGTCACTAATACCTCTGCATATCAATAATAATACTACTTATAACTCACGGTGCCGCCTCTTGCTGTGAGCAAGGGCTTTGTTTACCTGAAGAGAAAATGAGAACTTCCGGAGGGTGGACAACGTTCTGGTCCTTTAGGGACTCAGGGGCTTGACTGGCTTCTGTATTGCCTGAAGCATCTACAACTAGTCTTTCTCTTTTTGATTCCCTTTTTTCTGAGAGAGAGAGAGAGAGAGAGAGAGAGAGAGAGAGAGAGAGGAGAAACGAGTGAAAGCAAGTGAGAGCTGAGGCTTGGTGTGGTGGTTCACACCTATAATCGGCACTTGGGAGGCTGAGGCAGGAGGATTGCTAAACGTTATAAGTTTGAGGTTAGCCTGGTCTCTGTAGTGAGTTCCAGGCTAACCTGGACTACAGAGTGAGATGAGATGAGACTCTGTCTAAAAAACAAGAAAGAAAAGAGAGGGAGAAAGGGAAGAAGGACTGAAGGAAGGAAGGACCGGGCATGTGTGTCTGCTGTGTTGGGGAAACAGGGTCCTTTGTAAAACAGGCTGAGGCCTTGAGGTGGGGGAGCTGAGGGCGGCTGGTGATGATGGAGATGGAGCCTGTGCTGTGGGAGGCGGAGGGGTCCTGGCTGGTGGTTTAGGTGGAAGAGGCAGCTTCCACACCGCATCCCACAAGCTTCCTTGTGGCTGGTTCCAGTTCCCTTTATGGCTGGGGCTCCATCACGGCTCAGCAGGGCTCTACTTGCTCCAGTGGAGTGTGCAATCGCTGGAGGTCAGACAGACGTGCCTTTCCAGAAGTCACACATTATACACCTCAGGAACTGCTTTGTGACTTAAAGAGTTGTCTAGATTAGGAAGGTGGTGTCATTCTCTCTGGACCTCCCCCGGGAAATGGAAGATCGTGGCATTGTTGGCTCCAGGCTCTACTGAAGTTTGCTGTCCCGGAGTTTGGAAATAAACCTGACACTGGTGGCTAAAAGGTCACAGATAGGGTTTGATTGAACAAAGGACTTGGCGCTTGGCAGGCATCATCCCCAGGCCCCGTTAGCTTGACTCCCCGGCTTTCAGCCTTGTACATTCTTTCACTGGCTTCGGAAATGCAGAATCTTAAAAAACGAAAAACAAAACCCTCCCACTTATCTAAGCATATTCTTTAGTTAGGCTGATTTGTTCATTGGTTCTGTTTTTTGTTTGTTTGTTTGTTTGTTTTGTTGCTTTTTGTTTTTGAGAAAGGGTCTCACTATGTAGCCTTACCTGTTGTATTCACTCGATCATTCACTCGATGTTGAACTCATCGAGATTCCCCTGCCTCTGTTTTCTGAGTGCTAGGAGGCAGATACCAGTTCTG